CCCACTAGTCCTGCCCCATGGGCCCCCCTACACACAGCAATGCCAAACCCCCAGCCTCCCACGACCCACTAGCCCTGTCACCCTCCAGCCCCCACCTCCCCACTGCCTCTCCCCAAACTCACAAATCATCCCCATTTTCACCTCCTCCCGGTCAGGCTGCTGGCTCCCAGCCCCCCCACCTCAGCTCCATCAGGCCACCCAAAGACCCAGATTCCCACAAACCCCACTGATTCCAGCCCCCAACCCTCACCCCCAAACCCCAGAGCAGCCATAGACCCCCGCCACACCATCCCTGGCTCCGCATCCCTTCCCCCAGCCCCAGACTGCTAGCTCTACAGACTCCCTGCTCCATCTATCCATCTGTCCATCCATCTACCCACTCACCCACCCATCCATCCATCCGTCAACTCAGGGTGTCCCCCAGCCCACAACCATCTGGGGCCTGGGAGGTGGGGAGTAGGGTTATAAGAGATGTGTGGGGAGAAGGGGTATTCTCAGTGCCCATCACCAGATCATCGGGCACTCCCAGATCCCTGGGCGGGAGGCGGGCAAGGGGTGCTGGAGGGGCGGGGACTCACCTGTCTGGCCTTTACCCAGGGTCTTTTCCAGGCGGTAGGGCCCCACGTACTGTGCGTGCTGCTGTGGTTGGTAGGGATGAACCCCCCCAGCCTCCTTCCCGCTGGACATGATGCTGGGCCTTTGTCTTCCTCCTGCAGAGGCCTTGCCGTCTTCCTTGCCTCGGCTCCCTTGGTACCCCCCTTCTCTGCCTAAGCACACCCCAGCCCTCCCCGAACAATGGATGGGGCGAGGAGGAGTGGGGGTGCTGGGGAGCAGGGGGGTGAGGCACCTTCACCCCAGGCAGGCAGCGGGCATCCTTGGTTGGGCAGGGGGAAAGGACGGGGTATCAGGGTGCTGGGGAGGGACACAGGGCAGGGGAGGGGATGCGCCAGGCAAGAAGGGAGCCCCAGGGTGGGGGGGGCAGGGCGATCACACACCGGGGACCAGCATGACGGGGCTGCTCCCACCGCTTCCTGCTGGGGATGCTGGTACTGCGGGGAGATGCTGGCTGGCCCCTTCCTCGCCCAGCCGCCTCCTCCTCCTCCTGCTCCTCCCTCCGCAATGTGAAGGACTCTCTCCAGCATCCCCCCCCCCCCCCCACACACACACACACCTTACATCAGCATCCGGGCACTGGTGACAGCACAACTGGGGTTAACCCTTCCGCAACAAAGGCGGCTCAGCCCCTCCCCACCTTGGGAGGGGTTGGGGGGGAGCAGGAAGGAGGGGCTGGGGGTCAGTGTGTGCGTTTGGGTGGGTGTGAGAGAGAGAGAGTCAGACAGACAGACAGACAGGGTGTGATCAGAAAGGAAGGACTAGGGATCTGGGGGGGTGGTTAGTGTGTGTGTATGCATGTATGCATGTGTGTATATATGTGAGAGGCTGTGATCAGGAGGGAGGGGTTGGGGGTCAGCACGTGCGCGCACACGTGTGTGTGTGTGTGTGTGTGTGTGTGTGTGTGTGTGTGTGTGTGAGAGAGAGAAGGAGATAGAGATGGGGTGTGATCAGGAGGGAGGCTAGGAGTGATGGCCTGGGGGTCAGCGTGTATGTGTGTGTATGATAGGTGTGATCAGAAGGGAAGGACTGGGGTGTGTGTATGTGGGTTAGTGGGTGTGTGTATGTGTGTGAGAGGGTATGATCAGGAGGGAGGGGCGGGGGGGTGGTCTCGGGGTCTGCTTGTGTGTGTGCGTGCGTGTATGAGATGGGGTGTGATCAGGTGGGAGAGACTGGGGTGATGGGCTGCGGGTCAGCGTGTATGTGTGGGGTGGGTTTGTGGGTGTATATATGTATATGTGTGTATGTATGTGTGTGATACAGTATGATCAGAAGGAAGGGGCTGGGGGTGATGATCTAGGGGTCAGCAAGAGTGTGGGTGTGGTTGTGTGTATGTTTGTGTGTTTGCGTTTGAGATGGGGTGTGAGCAGGAGGGAAGGGACCGTGGTTGTGATGGGGGCGTGTGTGTGTGTGTAATAGGATGTGACTGGAGAGGCAGGGCTGAAGGTGATGGGCTGGGGGGGATCAATGTGTGTATGAGATGGGAGTGACTGGGTAGGTGGAGCTGGGGCTGATGGGCTGAAGGTCAGTGTGCATGTGTGCATGCATTATAGGATGTTATTGAGTAGGTGCGGCTGGGGGATCAGTGTATGTGTGAGATGGGGTGTGACCAAGTAGGTGGGGCTGGGGCAATAGACTGGGGGTCAGTGTGTGTGGGTGTGGGTGGGTGTGTAATGGGGTGTGATGGGGAAGCGGGGCTGTGGCTGATGGGCTGGAGATCAGCAGGTGCGTGTGTCTAATAGGTGTGATCTGATAGGCAGGACAGGGGGTGATAGGCTGGAGTTCAGAGTGTGAGTAGGTGTGTGCATGTGTGTGAGATGGGGTGTGATCCGGTAGGGGGAGCTGGGAATGATGGACTGGGTGTCAGTGTCTGTGCACAAGTGTGTAGGTGTGTGTGGTAGGGTGTGAATGGGTAGAAGGGGCCAGGGGTGATGGGTTGTGGGTCAGTGTATGTATGGGAGTGTGCATGTGAGACAGAAAAAAAAGGAGTATGTATGATCAGGAGAGAGGAGCTGGGGCTATGATGGGTTGTAGGTCAGAATGTGTGAGAGAGAGTTGTGGTATGATTGGGTAGGAGGGGCTGGGCATGATGGGTTCTGGGTCAGTGTGGGTGTCACTGTGTGTGAGAGAGAGAAAGAGAAGGGGTGTGAGTAGGAGGGAGGCTCTGGGGGATGTGATGAAGGTGTGATGGGATGTGGGTGAGTGTGTGTTTGTGTGTCAGGTTGTGTGCGAGAGAAGGGATGTGATAAGGTAGGAGGAGCAAGGTGTGATGGGTTGTGGATCAGTTGGGGGGGTGTGTGTGCGTGCATATGTATGTGATGGAGTGTGTGTCAGACTGTGCAAGAGACACAAGGTACAACTGGAATGGCAGGACTGGAGGTGTGCGGTGAGTTATGCTCAAAGTGCACAGGGAGAGAGAGGGGTGTTGTACATGTGTGTGATATTGCATGTGTAAGAGATGGGATGGGATCAGGCAGAAGGGGGTGATGGGTTGTGGGTCAGAGTGTGTGTGTATATGTGTGCGTGTCATATTGTGTGCGAGAGACATGAGGTGATGTTGAGGGAGGGGCTGGGGTATGTGTGAGATTGTGGTGTCATAGTGTGTGCAGGCAGAAGGAGGGGTGTGTGCATGTGTGTGAGAGACTGTATGAGTGAGAGAGGGTTGAACCAGGTAGGAGGGACTGAGACGTGGTGGGAAATGTGCTGGGTTGTGGTTTAGTATGTGTGTGATAGTGTGGCTGTGTGACAAATTGTGTGTGTAAGAGGCAGGATGTGATAGAAAGGGATGTGTAAAGGGGGGAAGGGCTAAGTGCCTCTGTGTGTGTGTGTGTGCATGTATGTGTGTGTGTGTGCATGCGCCTATGTGTGTGGGATGTGTACACATCTGTGTAACGTGTATCCATCTGTGTGTGGAGTGTGCGTGTGTGTCTGTATAACCTCTGTGATGTGTGTGAGATGGGCATGTGTATGTATATCTGTGATGTGAGTGCTTGTGTGCATGTCATGTATGTGATATATGTCTGTCACCTCTGTGTGTGCAAGATAGATGTGCATGTATGTGTACATATGCGTGTGCATGTTCATACCTGTATAAAGTATGTGTGCTTATGTCTGTATGGTGTGTGTGTGTGTGTCTGTGACACGTATATGTCTGTGTATTCATGTCTGAAGTGTGTCTGATGCGTATGTGTGTTCATGTTTATAAGGCACATCTATGTGTATATGTGTATGTTCAAGTCTGTGTGAGAACTGTGTCTGTGATGTGAATGTGTATATGTTCATGTCTGTGTGAGAGGCGTATGTGTCTGTATGATGTGTATTTGTGTGTTCAGCTGTGTGTGGTGCAAGTGCATCTGTGATGTATACATGTCTGTGCTCAGGTCTATGAGAAGCATGTGTGTGATGTGTGTTCATGTCTGAGTAGCGTGCGTGTGTGATGTGTATGTATGTGTGTTTGTATCTATGAGGCATGTGTGCATCTGCATGAAGTGTACACGTGCATGTGTTCATGTCTACATGAGAGCTGTGTGTGTGAGGTGTATGTGTATATGTTTTCATGTCTGTGTGAAAGATATGTGTGTACGTGTGAGTTCAGGTGTGTGTGTGGTGTATGTACATCTGTGACATGTACCTCTCTGTGTGCTCCTGCCTGTGAGGTGTGTGTGTGACATGTGTTTGTGTTCGTGTTTGAGGCATACGTGTGTCTGTGATGTGTGTGTTCATATCTGTATGATATCTGTATGAGAGGTAGTGGCTGTGTAACATATATGTGTATATATGTTTTCATGCCTGTATGAGAGGTGTGTGCGTCTCCGCATGATGGGTTTGCATCGAGGGACTCGGGGTGGAAGCCAGCCCAGGTCCCTGAGGTCTCCCCACTCTGCCCCCTGTTCCAGCACTGTTCCCTCTCCCTCTTGACTCCCTACAACATCTCCCCAGGCCCTGACTCTGCAGCACAATGCTGGCCATGGAGGAGAGGCTCCATGGTGCCACTCACACCCAAGGTGCCCCTGGATCTCAGTGCTTCAACCCCACCCCTTGTGCCAGCCAGTGCCCTGTTCTGGGGACAGATCGGGGCCTGTGGCTCCTGGAAGGGCTGTGGGGAGACCACATCCAGGTAGGGAGAGTGGCACAGAGGGTGACTGATGGAGGAGGGAGGTTTGCAGATCCCCAGCTCCAGTGCTCGCTGGTGCTTGGGGATACTTTCACTGGCTCTGTGAGCTGGGGTAGGGGGGCAGGAAGGGGCTCACCTGGGCATGTCTGGGCTGTCCTCAACTCATTGGCTCTACCCAAGGGCTTTGGGCTCTACTCAAGGGCTTTGGGGTCTCCTGATCTCTCCAAGACTCCAGCATCAAGCCAGGTATGTGCTCCCCTGAGCAGCTGCTGGATGCACCTGGGGGACAGGTCTCCACCAGAAAGGGCACCCCAAGGCCACTTTCAGGCTCTCCTCCCCTCCTGCTAGCTCTGGGGTCCCTCTGTCGCTGGGTAGCAGGGCTCTTCTGAGGCCTCCACCCAGACGGAGCTCATGGCAGGGTCGGTGGCCCCTTGCCCCCCTGTTGGGGCCGTGGGGTCCTGGCAGTCAATGCGGGGGGAGGGGGCCTGGTGGTCCCCTTGCCTGTCCCTCCTGTGCCCAACTTAGGAGCAGGTGAGGGAGCTCCAGGCTGAGGTGATCAGGCTGAGGGGGATCAGGGATGCAGAGGATGAAATTGATGCCTATCTCTGTTCTCTGCAGGCCCGGTCACCCACTGTACAGCCCCCACAGGAGACGTGTCCAACGCAGGAGTGGCAGAAGGTGTCCAGATCCAGAGCTGCTTGGCCTAGAGTGGTGGAAGCTCCCCAGGTACACCTGGGGAACAGGTTTGAGGCCCTGGCAGCTGTGATGGAGAAAGACAGAGCAAATGCCTCCGGCAGGGACGATACCACTCCCCACGCAACATGGCATGGGCAGAGAACGAACACCAGCAGGAAGAAACGCTGGGTCCTTGTCATCGGTGACTCCATCCTATGAGTACTGGAAGGTCCCATCTGCCAGCCTGACCCCATGATGCAGGAGGTCTGCTTCAAGCCTGGGGCTC